ATATATATATATATATATATATATATATATATGGGAAGAGTACTCAACAGGCCGAGAACGATCCACCCCGTGCGGAATACCTCAGGCGGCATTTTCTTGTAGATAATTGTTCGAAACCACGCGTACACAGCAAAATTTCCATATAAACCCACAGTTGGATATTGCTGCCTTGTTCTATATAACCAAAAACACATTCGTGACATTTGTCACACGGGCTTACCGTCTGTTTATCGTATTCGCACCCAGCTGTCCTTGTACTAACCCCCCCCCACTGAAGTTACCCTTGAACGTTATGTATTGCCTCGCAAGCGCTCTGGTCGCTTACACCAAGCTTACACCAAGAAACCACAAGTTCAGTGGACTCCTTGAAGTTTGAGCTTCATACAAAAATGTCATCTTGGGGGATCTGCGCTGAATATTGTGATCTTGCTGCTTATCTTTCTTACCCGAACCAGTCGCTTTGCCAGCTGTGAGTGGTCTCTCAAAACTCAAGTTTATAAAATACTACCTGCGATCAACAATGATTAAGACACGGCTCACGGACTTTCCAGTCCTCTCTCCATAGAGAGAATTTGCCGTTGGATTGTTTGCATTGTGCTGTTGATAATTTTACCGCAAGTAAAGCATGAAGTGTGTTTGTAACGTTTGCACACGAATATGGCAATAATACAAATGCACGCACCTACAGTAGCACTCTAAAATTTTAGGTTTGCTGTTATATGATACGAAATATTAAGGGGCTGTTCTCAATTGTGAGTGTTTATGGAGCTGCAACTGCCGAGTTGCAAAAACCTTACGACCGCCCCGGGCGGCAAGAGTGCTTGATACGCCAGCGCTATAATTACCAGAGAGATCACGCAGCATGGAAATCACACATCTACCGTCTACGGGATTGACTGCTTAATTTGTACACTACGCAACATTGTCACCACTTAGATCAGTCGGCGTCTCTCTCCTTGTGGACGGTGTACTCATTGTGTATTTGACATGCTATAAGTATCGGGGCCTGGAATGAATGTACGCTGGTTTGAATGATTCTCCATATCAACAGCAAACTTTCTGATTGTTAGTACCTGTTGTGAACGTGGCTGGATTTTGTTTACCTTGCGAACAGGCAGATTACCTAGACTGATAATCTTCAGAATGGCATTTGGATTAGTTTATCGGGGTTAGCGTCGGATCATGTCAATACAGTCAAGTCATAGATTTCCAGAATTACGCACCCAAGTGCCAGGAGCCAAACGCGGGAGCCATAGTTGGCCGGGAAACAATCAGAACCCCGGCAGATTTTGGCATGGTGCACCAAGATCGAGGAGTTTGCGTCTCTCCAATCGCCTATTCACGCAAACACAGGTATACACACTCAATGCCGTGCACTTTTGTGATTAATCGAACAGACTCAAGGCTCACAGAGCGCGTGGATTATATCTGTCCGAGGTGGCAATGTCAAAAGTCGCGGTGAGCAGTCAACAGCTAGGCGAGAGTTGTGGTTGGTGTCAAAAATTGTATGAGCTACTTTCTGTTGTGATTAGCCGGGGCCACTACGACTATCAAGCACTCCTTTCGGTGACCACACTGGACAACGACTGAACAGTGCTGTTAACGGCCCCACAACACGTAAGCCAACTACGGAGTCGTGTTCCTTTCGAGGTCACCATCATACAATGCGTCCAAAAGTTGCCAATATTGTTATTCTTGTGTGCAGTTGTTTTTTCGCTCGCGCAATATTCGTCTCCGTCGGCCTTTCCTCGACACCAGCGTCCTAACCTATCAGCATTCCGTTCCGCGCAAAAACGCCGCTACGCAAACCGAGGCCACGGTCACGTCTTAAGACGGTGTTAGTGGGTCAGTTGGCAAGGTGTGGGGTGGAGCAAGACGCTAAACCGACAGACCAATCGTAATCGGCCGCAGTGACAACAACGCCTGTGTCTTAAAGCCGTGCGGTCAGTTCCACACGTATTGTGAATTTGTGCCTAGGCGGTGGTGCACACAGTGCCAGCTGGCTTAACAATCAAGCCGAATGGAATAAGAACGTTTTTGATCTGGTAGAGTGCGGTCATTCAATGGAAAACCATGCATACTTTTCGCAGCTTCATAGCTTCAGTGTAGTAGCTAATCATTCGGGTAGATAGAACCATGAGACAATGACCTAGTGTCGGTGTTTAAAAACAGACTTTACTCAAAACCAGCGAATTGACCAGACGCCGAGCCTTGAGTTTATCTTCGCCCTTCACGGCTATATTTTCAGCAGTACCATAGAAAGCGTCGGAACTGTGATCTGTTACTCTTAAATCTCTAAGCTGGGCTGAAGAAATTCGAGGCGAATTAGACTGGCTTGGTGTATTGAGGGGAGGGTCTAAGCTGAAAAATCTGAAAAATCGTAATTTTTGACCATTTTGGAAAACCATACAAATGTCAACTGTAGTCATTCTAGGATATAAATCTGCGAACCATTTTTCTGTTAGCATCTTTTGTAATGCAGTATTTCAGCATTTTGTGAAGCATGTGTGACTTGTTTTCTATAAATTCAAGCCCATTATACATGTGTAAATTTTAAAACGTTGCATCTCGGCTTGTAGACGTCCTAGAAACTTCATTCAAGTTGCATTCGATTCTGCTTTGCAAGGCCTATCTGAGCTGATAAAAGAGACCTTTATACACAATGACAAGAGTGTGCAAGGAATCGGTGGGCGAGGTTGTCTGGCAAAGAAGGCAATGTTAAACATTCAAGGACATTATGGGGCTGCAATAAGAAGAAATACTAATAATGTGCCTCAGATACAAAAAGATATATGGGTCATATGGGAGCACCGCAACCGTGATCACACTAACTGGGGAGACTGGTGTCCCTCCAAGAAGCAGCCAGCTAGAGACTCTGACAGGAATGCTCTCCCTCCTTATGTGTGCAAGGCTATCAGACCTGTTTTTGAAACACTTGCCAGTGAGACATTACTGTCAAAGTGTGCCCATGGAGGAACACAAAATACAAATGAAAGTTTTCACAATTTAATTTGGCAAAAGTGTCCAAAGGCTGGTTTTGTTTGAAGGCAAAGGCTTACTCTTGCAGTTGCTGATACTGCAGTGGTTTTCACTGATGGAGAGAGGGGTAGGCTGCCTATATTTGAGAAGTTGGGGATGTCTACGGGATTGTATACCAGGCTTTGTTGTAATGAACTAGACAGAACAAGAGTTCATGCAGCAGCTGTTGGACTTCTGCCAGCTGAGCGACGAGCACGGAAAGTAGTGGCTTCAAGGGAGTGTGAAGGCATCGAAGATTTCTATCTTGCTGGTGCCCATGAGTAGTCCAGGTTAGTTTTCCTACGTAAATCATATCATGGAACATCACTAAAATTTGTATAAATTACCGATATGCCAGAAAAGTTTAAATGACTTTCGTTTTTCCATGTAATTCAACTTTAAAGCCATTTTTCTCAAAACTGCATTTTTTCACTCTTGCGTCAGCCTTCTGAGGATAAGTTCAAAACTAATAGTTCAGAGTCAATAAAATTTGGAGAAGACGCTCTTCTTTAGTTTCTGCATGGAATAAACTACTTTTAAGTGTCCTACACTTGTGGTCAACTTTTAACCTCAGTTCGGATTTTTATGCAAATCTGAACATCCGTATTGAAAGATCTAATTCAGATACAGAGTTGAGTATCGTTTACTCTAAAGCTAAACTATATCTAAATAACTGCACAAAATTTTAGCTCTATACATAGAGTACTTTTTTGATGGGACCCAGAACGCCACAACAACCAATTCGGTATCACTAATTTAGGTACCTTACTAAAATGTGAATAAAAAAATAATAAACACACTTATCCTTATTTCTCTACCATATATTATTTGCATCATAAATAATGATATTCCCTGCAAAATTTCATAAAGATCTGACTATATCTAGACATATATATCGAGCTTTGAAAAACACACCATTTTTGACTTTTTCAGCTTAGACCCTCCCCTTACCACTGCGTCATCCTACATCTTCGGTGGGCTGCATTTCGGCAAGCTATCGTATGCTGCTTGGTTACGGAATGTTGGAAGCAATCACGAGTGTTACGATGAAAAACGGTCGATTTAGACTGGTAGCTGTGCGCAGACCGGCGAACAGTACAACTCGAAGTCGATTGGCATGGATCGGTGGGTATCGAAGCTCCTATTCAAACCCTAGGGAAAGGACAAGCAGAGAACGTTGTTTCCCCAAACCTGCTTAATAGCGTTCAATGAGGATCAACTGGACCGCGCTGATTATCAATATCACATTTTCCGTTACATAATGAAGTAATGCACGCAGAAATATCCCGGTAACAATTGCTAGGATACGAAACAATATACGCCATGGGAAGCATACAGTGGAAGCATAAAAATCTATCGCACAGCTGAAAGTTTCAGCAGAAACCATTCAGGTAAAGTCCCAGGAGTCACATCATTGGTAGAACCAAAATATCCGCCTAGTTGTGATAGATATCATCGAGGAAAGGAGAGTGCGTTGGAGTCTTCATGTTATTAGCTAAATAACATCCTAACTTGTCGCTTACTCAAGATAGCGGTTTCCCACTATATAATGCGAGTGCGGCGCCTGTTCACCTCGAAGGAGGCGGAAACTACTACGATGGGTTGTGGTTATGGTTTCTTCAGGAATGTGGCACTCATTAAGCGATGGTAGCACGACACACACGCGACCGCGTACTAACGCATGTGTGCACACACACTCGCACGTGCGGGAGGGCGTCAAGCGTTAAGGACAGTTGAGCATGTGCGCTGCCAGGCCACGTGGCTGAGCCTATCTACAATCTGCGTAAAACTGGCAAGCGTATTGGATCAACCGAAGGTGAGACAGCCACGAGACATTGGAGGGGTAACTGAGACGATACGTTGTCGACGGATTTACGCACAATAACTCCATAGGTAGGTAGTCAGATAAAGGAATGCGCATGTGTTGCCGGAACATGATTGCACACACACACACACACACACCCAAATGCAGACGACAACACAACGACAGCTCAGTCGTTTATGGGTTGAACTGATGCACTGAAGGAAGGGGTATCGGAAGTTATTTGCAAGGTAAATGGTTACCTGAGAGGGTGACAGTGGTATCTTAAAGCATGGTCTACCCAAAGTAGACAGTTGTAAGCGTATGCACACATTTGCATGGACACAACACTACAGATAAATTCATCTCATTGGATCGCGCCTATCGCTTGATGAAGGGTTTCTGTTATTCGCTAACTTAGAAAAGAAGTAGGATTATCCGAACATTGGTCTGGAGCATCTTGCGTCGTTGACTGCGAAGAAAACGGCCAGAAACACGCAACAGGTGGGACGAAGCTTCTGAAGTACGTGACTTTTTGCGATCGATATCATTCTGTCTAAATAACTTAACTCTTCTTAACAATGACAGATAAATGAAACTACCAACACTTTTGTAATTCATGAGTGGGGGATTTTTGATGTAATTAGTTGTGTACGTCAAATCAACTTCTAAATCAGATAGTCCTTCACATCCCCGGATGCACACTACTGATGATGCCCAACAGGCTGAAACTCAGTCTAGTGCTTTTCCAGGCATGTGGACGATCATCTGACTTGGAAACTGGTGTGACGAACACACAACTAAGTTTAGTCATTGTTTGTCATGATGGGGATATCGGTTAGGTTGTGGCCGAACCAGTCTAAAGGAATCCTGATTCAACTTCATTTTCCTGTATCGTGGAACACCGGGTGCTACTCGGATGAACGAACAGATGGGAAGGCAGTGATGACCCCAGCTTTGATCGAGTGTGTGAGAAACAAACTCGGCACCGACCTTACCAGCTAATACTGGCGCACTAGTGTTATAGAGTTACAAACCTTAGATGAGAGAAGACATTCAGTCGAGAAGCCAAGTTTCCTTTTCATAAAGGACTCAGGCCAAGTACTCCATAATATGACCTTCACATTACACCACTGGTGGCCGGTGGGTGGGCGAAGCGCTACGGGACATTCTTGTGCAGAAGGAATAGACAGTTTAATCCATAGGTTACTGGCTAACTACCGAAGGCATTTGATCTCGGTTGTGGGAAGGGTAGCCTTGAAACACAAATATTGGTTACGCATGGTATCCAACGAAACGGAGAATAGGTACATCTGTAACTAGAGTTCAAGCAAACGATGCTGATATTTTTCAACATTTGTGGACAAAATTCCGAATTCCTTTTTTTACGCAACTGGCTAGAGCTAATCGTGAAATGTTCGGGATGACTTGGTATCCATGTTTGTCACTTAACTACTTGACGCATGTATCATAGCTTGTACAAACATACTGGAGGTTTAAAACATTATTGGCCCGACACCTAGTAAAGTGTCACTTTGCTTGTTGTGGTTATAATTGTAAGCACTTTTATTGACGGTCTTTTAAGACAGATAACATGTTTGGTGAACATGTTTGTTACGCTAAACTTGTTTCTCCTACATCTTAAACGAGGTTATTCAGAAACAGTCATAGGGATTTTTCACATGATTCATTGACATTCTCACCTTTATCTGGCGTGAACACGCAACAGTCTGTGCGCCGTTTTGTTGAACGGGTTATGTTCGCGGTTACGTGTTCCCTTAGTTTAACGGGATCTGAACTTCGTGTGCAATGCTTGCATGTTAACGCACACTTTCGTGTTGCCGAAATTTGATTTTCATCCTGCGTCTTTTGTCGACGCACAATTAAACTCCCCCAATAGACATGTCCTAATGCTTCCATCTGAGCCATTCCCGTTACATATATAACTCACGCTGAAAGGTTGCCTCATCTCGATTGCCCCGGTAGTTGCCGACAGAATGAAATTGCCATCTTTATCTAACTCAAAACTTCCGTGTTGGAACGAAGGAAATCCAGGTGGGCGCTTTAATGTGGTGGGGTTGAAAAGTGGAACCCTTATGGCGTCTTTTCTAGCAAGAGTGTCGACAAGTCCGCATGGTGATTAGATAATGCTAATTACTCCACTGGTTCACTTACGCCAAGGAATACGCGAACGTTTAAAGTGGCTGCCCATAAATTGATTCGCAGTTGATGTACTTAAGATGAAGTTAAATGCAGTTACTGACAACTGAGAAATATGTTGGAAACTATGATCGCCAAGTGAGGAACTTCCACTGGGTACCCAGTATGCTCCCATCAGGAATGCGCTTCTTTTCTGGACTAGCTAGCAGCGCCCTTTCTCTCTGACTGCTGGTAGACCAAAACTCGGAGGTTACCAGCTCGGTCGTGTACCCGTTCGAAATGCCTGTGGTAGTGGAAGATGTGAATCAGCGTTTCGCAGTAAGCTACGTGACCACTATGGCTGTCACCTGCGCCTCATGCTGACGTTGATGTCACATACATCATGCTTCTTCACCGTATTTGGAATACACCAAGTTAAACTAACTGCTTAATCTGGATAAAACGTATTCCTCTTCATTTGCTTTACTCAGTTGTGTTATTCTGCTGCACATCCCGTGTCAATTTGGCGCATTTAGTTTCCTTCGATTTCTGTCTTGCTTGTTTGATATCCCCGGTGTGACTGCGCTTGCTGTGAATGTTGACAAGATGCCTAACTGTCTAACACCCTCCACCTCTATTAATGCCTCCAGGATACTGTGAATGGTTGCTGGAGCAGGGTGCACGGTCCTCGTGGCCGTGCTAGGCTCAAAGAATGGTTCCATACAGTATGGAGTGGACTACAGCCTAGCCACCGCCTTGTGTAAGTCTGATACGCATCATTCCTCACATAGATCGACAGGAATGCTGCTGTTGTGCATGTTGAAGGAGTGTGGGCCGGCTCCGTTGATGAAACCTGAATCCCATCCACATGCCTTCCTATCTTATTACTTCGGGTTTACACGGGATATGGGGTGTGTGGATGGAGCTGTGGGTAGTGCAGCACAATCCATCGATGGTCCCTGAGTAGGCGCTCTCGTCCTGTGACTGTCCTTGTGGAGGCCGCATTGATAAGTAAGTCCGGAACCGGATGCCGCCATCCATGGCTATCCTTTAGTAGCTTTAAGCCCTCCCTCAAGTTAGAACGGCTGCAGTGTCTGGCCCCACATCAGAAACGATGAGTGCACGCAGCTGGAGTGTCTCAAAGCGAGGGGACACCTATCCGGCAGATTTCCGCAGTTAAGACACATATATGAGTTCATGTGTGACGCACCTCCTTTACTTTTAGTTCAGGTCCCCTGTTAGTGATCTCTGCAACAAAACTATCCTTGTTTTGAAAGGGTAAACGAAAAGGAACCGGTGTTGGAGTATGGTGTCATGAACCAGTGGTACTCAAAACACTCCTCCTGATGACACAGCCCAGTACTCAAATTGAACGGTACTGCTTCAAATAGCTTCGATATCCATCGGGGTTTTGGTATCCTAATACGGTCTAATAATAACTGTTACAAACCCATCCGTGCAACTTCTAAAATTGGTAGGCAAATCCCAATGTGTGGTGTCTGTCGCATCGATAGATGCTTACGCTTCGCATGAACGGGTTATGTGAACAGAGAGTATCCATCTGGCATAGAAATGTGATTAACAATAAGTTCAGGAAAGCGAGATGTTGACGTTTACTTAACTGAAATTAACTATTCCCTGTTATCGTGAACCGTATTTTACCTTTCCCCCTTACTCTGGCTTGAAATGCTGTTCCCATATGGCTTCACTTGCAGCGCCAATATGTTAGCCCACCAGACAATGCATGTGCTCTCATTCTCGGTGCTTCGCGTATACATCCTTTCAGGTACAATCTGCTTACCATGCATGCATTCATGACCATGGGCGTCGTACATGATATCGCAAGCATGGATAACATTTAATTAGTCGGGTATTGCACCTTGACGTTTCGTACTACTGAAATAATACAATATGCATAGTGTAGTCAGTTGGTGGGATGTTATTCTAAACATTTTAGTTTGAGTTCACTGGACATTATTCATAGTACCACCGTAGTAAGCCACTCAGATCAAACGAGTTTGTTGCGTAGAGCTATCGAGCGCCATACTAAAGACGAGGCATTATTATTAGGCTGCAATAGATGAGAGTACAGGGAAATGCTTGGAAGTATGCCATAAACAACATCCGTTTTGTACTGGTTGTCCCGTAAGTAGAAAGGTAGTATGTAGCTAGAAGAACCCGGGGTTGCATGGCGGTGTGAACAGCGATGTGCCAAAGAAAACCGCTTGCAGTGCGTGCACGTCCACCTGCTTCGATACTGCTACGGATCACTCCTGACTGACAAACTGTGTATGCACTGTTTCATTCGCAGTTAACTCGTATGTTTCGCGTATTGTGACAACATTCAGTCATGTGTTAACATGAAAACTACCCTGTTCTATCGTTGCTGAGGTGACTGCTCTTCGGGGTCGTCACGTTGATAATTACATTCGACTGATTGTATTCAACGTATCACTCAGGTCTTCACAATGCCGGTTCAGTTCATCAGGCGTTACAACTATGTTCAATGACGAACACGTGGAACTCCTGTGATTTAAAAACCATTGCCTCAGGTTTGTTGAGGAACTGGTACTGTGGTGGCGACAGCAACAATTGTGGCTTCAGGAGGGGTACATTTTTACATAGTTACATGCAACGAAGATAGAACAGATAACGAAATAATGGTTCTAATCACAGCATCCGATTGTCTGTTGCCAACGTTGTTGTGTAAGCATGAATCGTTTAACAGGCAGTAATCCAGGTTCTAGGGGCACGCACGTGACCAGTGATATGGTTTTGGGTGTCAGGTTTGAGCAGCTACAATACAACAGTCCAGGGTGGGAAACAAATGATCAGAAGTTTGCAATCTATCTGGTTTCATGGGCTGTGATATAATCTCTCAGGGTTGCAATTTTCTGTTTCGATTAGTCCGCGAAACCATTATTCTTCCCTCAAAGAATACGCTTAAGTTTTGGCAAGAGAAAACAAACGGAGTGCTGACACCTGGTTACGACTAGTAAGATCCCTAATTATATTATCTGACTGTAACCAACCGTTCCATAGTGGGTTTCTTGAACACACATTGATCTACAATAGACAATAGCAAAAGCTCAGCTGGAAGCCAAAAGTCTCTCGCGAGAACACTATTCAGTTTGGTGGGCATCACCATTCACCAGTAAACAGACTAAGAGCAAAGTAAGCTTGAGAGATAGGTAAGTTGCGCTACATCCAACAATTGGTTGGACACAGTGGCCTTGCTGAAAAGAGTGGAATAACTGACCTACTGATGTGTTAATTCATGAGGTGAACAGGATAAACAGGCGGGTAGACTGACATTTTATCCGTTGTGATAGTTCCGAATTACTCACCTGAATAAGGTGGAAATAAGCAACATAAATTGCTCCT